TAACAGAATGGTATCACATTGGGAGGTAACAGAACGTGAAAAGGTAACAGAATGGTATCACATTGGGCGGTAACAGAACGTGAAAAGGTAACAGAATGGTATCACATTTGGAGGTGAATGAATTAGAAGAGGGGAAATATCATAAACCATTAAATTTCTTGGATTTGTTATAGAGATAGGAAGACATAGGAAGGGAAAGAAAAATGGGGTAATTTTATCAAATTGACGAAAACCTGATTTTTCCACAAATACGCAATGTCCATTTAAGTAATGAGCTTAAAGAATTGGTTTTAAGTCACACTTATATTTGAAAGAAAAAAAATCATTACGTTCTTGTTTTAATAAACCGAATGAGCTTGAATGACACGACAACGAGGGATGCACGTGATATAGATTCAGATTTTGATATAATAGATATTCAAATGGAATCTATTTATCTAACACTACAAATTGTTGACAATGCAAAAACTGGCGCGTGCTGACAACTCGATACCGTTCATACTGATGTAATGAACTTAAATCTGGGTAAATAAAGAATAATAACTCCAAAAGGTTGTCTAGTTTATTTTCCATTTCTAATTAATTTGATATAATGTTCGTACACATACCCGGTACTGAGAGTACAAAATACCATCAAACACGAACAAACATCAACCAAAGATCCCCCTGACAATTACGAACAGACAACGATGAAAGGTTCCGTGCATCCACTTACATTTATACACTGTAATGGTCAGGAAGCACTATAATTACTGTTATGAAAATGTAATTATTTGCAAATGTAACATAACGTCATCGTGGAAAATGGTTTTGCTTGAGAGAGTACTAGAATTTATTTGCATTGTCTCACTTTATTGGTACTTTATTTCATTTAACATGTTTTACGGAAATTAAATGCTCAGTATTTTTCAAAGATTATGATCGGTTCGACTGAAACGAGAGCATTTGTACTTAGATGGGGCTGGTTAAACTGTTATTTGCACGACATTGTACAAATGTATTCGACACAATAAAAATCTGAATAACAAGGCTAAACACGTGAAAACAATGTTAGGGTTAATTGATTAAGATAAATGTTAGTCCTTCACCGACCCGTGTGAAATTAGTGATGATTATTTGAGACAGTTTCCGTCCAGCATGAAAAACTAAAATCATGGTCAAAATAATGGTAATACATGAGAATGGTGCAACGTCACTCAACCAATGTACTCTTTACATGAAGTGATGTGACAACGTCACGCCACCAATGTACTCTTTACATGGAGTGCTGAGACAACGTCACTCCACACTCCACCAATATACTCTTTACATGGAGGGCTGAGACAATGTCACTCCACCAACATACTCTTTACATGGAGTAATGTGACGTAACTTCACCAATATACACTTAACATGGAGTGATGTGACAACGTCACTCCACCAATATACTCTTTACATGGAGTGATGTGACAACGTCACTTCCCACTCCACCAATATACTCTTTACATGGAGGGCTGAGACAATGTCACTCCACCAACATACTCTTTACATGGAGTAATGTGACGTAACTTCACCAATATACACTTAACATGGAGTGATGTGACAACGTCACTCCACCAATATACTCTTTACATGGAGTGATGTGACAACGTCACTTCACACTCCACCAATATACTCTTTACATGGAGTGATGTGACAACGTCACCCCACACTCCACCAATATACTCTTTACATGGAGTGATGTGACAAAGTCTCTCCACCAATAAACTCTTTACATGGAGTGATGTGACAACGTCACTCCACACCCCACCAATATACTCTTTACATGGAGTGCTAAGACAACATCACTCCACCAATATACTCTTTACATGGAGTGATGTGACAACGTCATTCCACCAATAAACTCTTTACATGGAGTGATGTGAAAAGTCTCTCCACCAATATACGCATTACATGGAGTGCTGTGACAACGTCACTCCACCAATATACTCTTTACATGGAGTGATGTGACAACGTCACTCCACACTCCACCAATATACTCTTTACATGGAGCGATGTGACAAAGTCACTCCACCAATACATTATTTACATGGAGTGATGTGACAACGTCATTCCACCAATATATTCTTTACATGGAGTGATGTGAAAAGTCTCTCCACCAATATACTCTTTACATGGAGTGCTAAGACAACATCACTCCACCAATATACTCTTTACATGGAGTGATGTGACAACGTCATTCCACCAATAAACTCTTTACATGGAGTGATGTGAAAAGTCTCTCCACCAATATACGCATTACATGGAGTGCTGAGACAACGTCACTCCACCAATATACTCTTTACATGGAGTGATGTGACAACGTCACTCCACACTCCACCAATATACTCTTTACATGGAGCGATGTGACAAAGTCACTCCACCAATACATTATTTACATGGAGTGATGTGACAACGTCATTCCACCAATATATTCTTTACATGGAGTGATGTGAAAAGTCTCTCCACCAATATACTCTTTACATGGAGTGATGTGACAACGTCACTCCACCAATATACTCTTTACATGGAGTGATGTAACAACGTCATTCCAACAAGATACTGTCTACATAGAGTGATGTGACAAAGCCACTCCACCAATATATTATTTACATGGAGTGATGTGACAACGTCACTCCACACCCCACCAATATAATCTTTACATGGAGTGCTAAGACAACATCACTCCACCAATATACTCTTTACATGGAGTGATATGACAAAGTCACTCCACCAATATACTCTTAACATGGAGTTGTGTGGCAACGTCACTTCACCAATATACTGTCTACATGGAGTGATGTGACAAAGTCACTCCACCAATATATCATTAACATGGAATGATGTGACAACTCACTCCACACCCCACCAATATACTCTGTAAAGTACTGTGACAGTGTTACTATATCTGTATACTATCTACCTTTGAGTATAGGCACAGAATCATCCCGCCCCACATATAATGTACTCTCTCTATGGAGGACAGATACGCTACTCGCCTTTCCTTGATACCTGACACCTGCCCAACCCCGTCAGACTAATTATCTCCAATCACGCACAAATAAATGTTCAAAGTAATTGTTTTATTGAATGACAAAGAACACGGCTTTGCGGCAATCCATCATTATGTATCTGCAACTCACTCCTTGGTCCCGTCTCCATATTTACATGTCCCCTCCCCCATATATTTACATTTTAAATTGGAATTAAACCTCTGTACGATCTTGTTACTTTCCTGCTGCGGGTAAAGTAACACAATGAACACTTTCGTTCTCAAATCACAACACCCGAGTTATGTTTGTTTCATACAAGGAACATTCAAGTCGATATCTGTTGGTAATTTCCGGTCATTTCCGCCACCCACACAGATATGTTTTTTCATCCTCTCAAAATAGTCATAGACCGTTCATTGCTGTCGAGTTTTACAGCTTCGATCACTTTTTTTAACCCCCTCCCTTTTAGACCCTCCCACAAATTAAACAGAGGTCCAAACGGACTAGACGCACTAGATCAACTGCTTTATCATGAGACATCAATCAATTACAGATGCTTCTTCTGATAAAAAATGTTTGAAATTATAGCTTTTTAATACCAAACCATTTGCATATATATATAAGATCTGTTATTCATGACAGTGGCAACAGATGGTTGAGGGCTACGGGTAGGCGAGGTCATTTTTCCGATAGAAACATTGGGTGAGGGGAGATAATTCAAATAAGTTTTAAAAATGTAAACTTCATAATCTTCACAACAGCCGTGAAACAAGTTATTCGAACTTATACTTATCACTCTTGTTGGCCCAGATCTAGGATCGCGAGGAGTTTCATCGTGGGAGGAAACCGGAAATCCACTTGGTCAGACATACAACTCCTTATCTTTTTGACGTCCGTTCGGGGTTTACCCCACAAACGGCTTTGTGAAAGGCGGGCGACCACCTGACCACCATAAATATTGTATGTTATACTCCTCCCTAATGATGTCATAATGAAGACATTTTGTAAAATGGTTAAATTTAACCATCTGACAGTTTTTTGTTGTCGATGATGTACCAGATTTGTAATCATAATTGTATTCGATAACGAGAATGTATATTAGTATTACTAATCCACAAGTCCCTCCAGTCTTCAAATATTACCTTCCATTCACAAAAATCTTTCTAAACCTGTCCAAAAAAAGTTCCGGGCCTTTGCTTAAATTTTTATGTCTACATTACAGACCACTTTTCAAGTTAAACCCCGGGGGTTACATTTAAATGTATAAGGTATGGGCAGTAAACGTGTTTAGGTGTGCCTAGCTGGTTCTGGTAAATCCAATCCAATTCAATTCAAATTTATTCCGTAAAGAGGAACAACAAAATAACAATTGTATTAAAATACATGTTTGAACACAACGTGTTTAGCATAAAATATATTCAATGATTAAACTGGTCGCACTTTTAAGATATGTGATATATCACATTTAAATGAAATTCCTCTTATCGTCTCTGACGAGTTATCAGAAAAATGTAAATTGATAAGATATGTTTGAATAGCCTCGGCACTATGAAATAAGATTCCAATGAAAACAAAATTTTGTCCTTAGAACCAGGATTACCAGAGATTCCTAGATCTTAATTCCACGGATGGGTACCATCTCTTGTGTTCGAAAGTTTTTTGATTGTTACATAAAATTAAAGATAATAATAATGCTCTTTGCTTGTAGGAGTTGACTCCCTTGTCATGAAAGACGGCCTGATAGCCTGGTTGTGGAAAAGGTGCCCGGAAGTAGATTCACATAAAGGGTGGTTCTTTTTATGCCCTTTTACATGTAAAAAAATGGTTGTACGATTATTATCATTATTATTTTATATCTATTTTTGAGTTTATTTTTTTCCGGGTTCGGCATTTCCGGTTTCGGCTTATAATTTATTCTCAAGCTTCTTTAATTACATCCGGATCTTCGTTATGTTTGTATACTGCAAATATGAAACATACTTCCTGGAGAAAAAGTGTTTCCCCTTTCTATTAAAGAAGTAGCCCTCTGCATACAGTCAGAGTAGAATTTGTGAGTATCTGTATTTTGTTGGGTTTGAACATCCTATCAGTTGATCGAGATGTTGTGGTCAAGATTCCTCCGGCTCGTAACCATAGTCAAAGACTGGTTGAGGGTCGCTGTTATTTATGTCACGAGCCTGTAACAATGTTTCTGGGGACGAGGTCTTGTATGGTATATAACAACGCATAACCAGTAAATGGAACCAAAGACATAACAAAGAGAAGTTGATCACCTTGTTGAATTTTACGTCTTTGGTGTCCAAAATGATCACAATGAAATTATGTTGTCTACAATGACAACTCGACATAAAATACAACACACTAAATTTACACACATTTCGCTCACTGTGAATTCGAAAAAGACCGTCGAATTCTCCAATGTAGCTAAATCTGTCCGCAGAAATCCAGGTCGAATAAAACTGGTATCGTGTAAAAGCACCATTAACATATATTTACAATGCAATTCACTTTCAAGTGGCACTTTTCGGTTGCAGAAAGGACAACATTGTATATGTATACAAACTCCAATTCTTATGCCGAGTGTACAGCTAAAGAGAATCTCAGAAAACAAATTTCTTTTCCTGTAGTACTTCATTCAAATCTGATCAGCTGCCATTGTTGTTGGTACCTATTAATCAAAATAGGAATGGAAGCAATTTCACTTTTCAAAGGACACAATTGATTAGTTAATAGATAAATATGAGAAATCAAACATGTCCTTACAAATACCCCATGTCTATTTCAGTTTCAAAAGATGTACAGCTGTATCTGATTTGTTAATAAATGAATTTGAAAATTTCTTTTTCTATAATGCCAACTGTATTGGCAGCTAGCACAATTTGAATGAAGTACTACAAAAATCGAAGTTTGTTTTCTAAGATTGTATTTTAGCTGTACACTAGACATATGATGTGGAAGTTTGTATATATACATTAGCAAATTCATGTTTATCTACCACAGCTGATAGGATGACTTTATCCGCACAAGATATTGACAGTCATACTCCATGTTTCCCTCCCCCCCAACTCCTCCTTTGTGAATGGTTATATGGTTTAATAAAAATACATGCATGAAGCTGCAGTGAATGCCCCCAGTCTACAGAATACCTCAGGTATTCATTCAGGAACCTAGCCTCAATCTTAGACATAATGTGTCGGTTCTTCAATATTGTTTAAAGGATTAGTACATTTTTCCATTTTAGGATAGAACATTTTAGTATTAGTTAACTGACATCAGTGTAAGTGACAAAGTCATCATGGATATCAGCAATTGATGACAGTTATATATGTATGATCACCATTTCCTGAGAAGTAATGGATGGATCTTTCTCAAATTTTGTTAAGATCCCTTTTTGTGCCTTGAGGTGCTCTTTTAAGTCTGTAAATGCAATTTCTGTACGCACATAAATGGATCTTTCTCAAATTACATCCGATTGGTGCAAAATAGTTGATAGGTGGCCATCTTGTATTTTGACAATCAAAGTTTGTTATTGCTCTAGAAGTATTTGATGAATTGTTCTTTAAAGTTTTCAAGATGGACATTTCTTTTTTCTATTTAACTCTGTTTCCCTGGTTTATTTTTATTAACCTATGATTTAATCATCTTTCAATACAAGCAAGAAGGGGAAAGACAAGAAAAGGTGGGCACATAGATTCCTCTTGGATCTGTCATCTTGCTCAAAAATTTCAATTTTTAACCCATTTCACTAAAACTTGGAATGCTGTATTGTAAAAGCTACATTTCAGTTTTTCATGCTTAGCATTTTTAAATCTAATGGCTTTGAAAGATTTCTTGTCCCGTTTTGGGGTCATCTTTCTCAGTTTTCAAACAATATCTTTCAATCTTGGTTGACTTTGCTATTAATGACACAAAATTTTGCTTTCTTGATGGCATTCTGATATGACAGTTATTGTTTCATTTGCACGGTTTGTCTCATTGGCATGGTACTCTTGTCTATGATAAAGTGTGGACAAGAATTGGATGATTGAGGATCGTTTATACTTGTTCTGCGACAACAATTCTGTTGTTATTGATGATTTTCCATTAAAGGAACTAAATCATTAGAATTTTGTAAATTTTTTTCCGTTTAACATTTTGTTTCGGACAAGCATGGTAATAGATAAATATCAACTATTTACAAAATTGTAGCATTTTTGAGAAAAATTCATAAAGATCATCAGCTTGAAACAAACACTGGTCAACACTCGCTGTTGTGTTTGCTGCTATTCACTGTTTTAATTGGAGATAGCCATGTTCATTACTTGACCCTTCAATTTTGAAATTTCTAAGTAGTCCTACATCGCACATGTGCAAAGACACTGTTTACACCCTCCATCCGATGACATTATGAATTAGTGTTAGGTCACTCCTGTTCTATTCTAATTTTTTGATGTTTTTCATGAAATGGTTATGCAAAGTTTTAAATATTATTAACAGTGCACAACTTTTAATAGATATTTAAATGTTATAATGCTTTTGATCAGTTATGAAATGAAAATCTAATCATTTTGTCCCTTTAAATATCACCAGTCCTTACTTTATAATATATATAGATTAACCACTCTATCAGTCATATGATCAGGCCAAATTTAGCCTTTTAGGGAACTCGGGATATATTAGTGCATAGATAAAGTTACACAGGATTTTATTATCAAGAGATACAGTATGGTAGTCCACATTAAATTTCTAATTACTTAAAGTGTTCAATTGTGCATTATACTTCTGTGTAGTTAATGTTTATGTGACATATCCTTAGTGTTTTCTTTTGCAGGGATAGAGAAATGAACAGATTGATCTTCAAGCCCAGGACTTCAGTCCTGCTAGTACTAGTAGCCTGTGTACTGGTATTATACATATTCCTGAGAAAAAAAAAAACAGATTCAGTCCACCATGAAAGAATGCATGCAGCATTATCAGCACCTAAGACAAATTTACCTAAAAATTCATATGATGTATTCTTCAGTAAATTTGAAGACCAAACATTTTCTCAAGAGATTGTGAGAAGTGGACAAGAAATAATGAAGAAATCCAAGGTGGTGTTGTTTGGGATGCTGAATGAGGCCTACATTCCATTTACATACAGCTGGTTATGTAACACTCGTCCTATGAACATCCACAGCAGTGTCCTTCTACTGACAACAGACCAAAATTCCACGAACCTTCTCAGACGGGACTGGCCAGAAATCCATACTGTCCACCTTGCTCTCAATAATAGTAAAGGCGACCAGGAGTACAGTAAAGCAGGGTACGTGAAAATGATGCACTTTAGGACTCAGGTCATCAACTTACTACTCAGGAACACAATTCCGCTGCTTCTGTTTGAGACTGATTGTTTATGGATACATAATCCTATTCCTGAGGTCATTCAGGCTGTTCAAGGTTATGACATTTTGGCTGTGAAGCCAACACACAAGCATGGTTACCTTGGAGGATTCATGTGCCTGATGCCGGAAGTGATAACTTTAAAAGTATGGGGCAAGTTGTCTGAGAGAATGCTGAGGCTGTATAATAGTATCACATATCTCAAAGACAAGGAAAATGTTGCTGATGAAACAAATGATCAGGTATTTTTTTCCAGCATTATAGAGCAAGAAAAGAAGACAATAAGGTTATATGAGTTTTCAAATAAGAAAATTGTAGATGGGAAATGGTATATAGATTTTACCGAGAAAGAAAGAAAAGAAATGAAACCTTTCATCATAAACAATAATTGGGTAAGAGGGAACAAACTAAAAATTGAAAGAGCCAAAAAATGGGGTCATTGGTTTGTATCAGACAGTCTGAAGTGTAATATGACACAGGTGAACACAATAGTTGAAGTTTAATTTTTTTCAGTTTTCGGAGCGATATAGAAATGACCTCACATAATGAATTCCAAAACAATATATTCAAAACTTAATCAATTCCAAGATGTTTGAAAAGTTCAGTATAACAGATAAGCAATATTTTGCTTTCAAATTGGTACATTTTCAGTACTGGATGGATAAATATTGAATAAATATAATCATTATCAGCTTCGTATATTCATTGTAGGGAATTGTTAAACATTGGAAAAGTTTTAGCCCATCATTATTTGATGAAATCCCCCAGCAACTATCATCTGTCAGTTTTTCTGAATTTTTGCTATGACTATTTCTTGAGAAGAACAGGACAGGTCTTGTATTATCAATTTTTAAATGTAGATTTCTTTTGGTACCTAGTTGTGCCCTTTTGCTTTTATGACTGATAAAACACAAAAACGAAATAACTGACAGACAGCCATCTCAGAGTTTGAACGTTTGTTCATTTTGATAGAAATACCTGTGTATATATCTTTCCTGTTAGTCCCTTGTTGTGTACGTTTTGTTTCAAAACTGATCGGAAAAATAAAATGGTGGACAGACAGTCATACAGGAATTTGGTAGTAAAAGTTTGTTATCCCTATTTTGAAAATTGATATTTCTCATGGCCTTTTGATTTCAGTGATCAGAAAGGCAAAGTGGCAAACAGTAGGCCTTCTTATATATCAAGTATGAAAGCTTGTTATTGTAATTCTTTCAGAAGGACTTTATCAAGCTTTATTAAATTTCCTATTTAGTCTGAATCTCAGAACTGTTATCATTGCTTTATTTGATTTTGTGGTATATTGTATTTTTTATATACATTTGTGACTGACTAGTATTATTATTGTTCAAAATGTTACCATGAGATTAATATATACTTATACAAGGAGAAAACATTTCAATAACCTGCTGTTATCTTGATATTATTAGATATAGTAAAGCCAGATACTGAATTAACTGCGTCATACAGCAGTTTTGTCCAAGAATTTGTCAGTGGTGCTAGACATCATACGGCTGTTTCGTCCTTCTAGGACTCGTCAGTGGTGCTAGACATCATACGACTGTTTCGTCCTTCTAGGACTCGTCAGTGGTGCTAGACATCATACGACTGTTTCGTCCTTCTAGGACTCGTCAGTAATGCTAGACATCATACGACTGTTTCGTCCTTCTAGGTCTCGTCAGTGGTGCTAGACATCATACCGATGTTTTGTCCTTCTAGGACTTGTCGGTGGTGCTAGATATACAACTGTTTTGTCCTTCTAGGACTCGTCAGTAGTGCTAGACATCATACGACTGTTTCGTCCTTCTAGGACTCATCAGTGGTGCTAGACGACAAAATATGCATCATAGGTATCATACATCTGCTTTGTCGTGTTAAGACTCTTCAGTGGTGCTAGAGGACATCATACATCTGCTTTGTCGTGTTAAGACTCTTCAGTGGTGCTAGAGGACATCATACATCTGCTTTGTCGTGTTAAGACTCACCAGTGGTGCTAGAGGACATCATACAGCTGTTTTGTCCTGTCAAGACTCACCAGTGGTACTAGAGGACATCATACAGCTGTTTTGTCCTGTCAAGACTCACCAGTGGTGCTAGAGGACATCATACAGCTGTTTTGTCCTGTCAAGACTCATCAGTGGTGCTAGAGGACATCATACAGCTGTTTTGTCCTGTTAAGACTCATCAGTGGTGCTAGAGGACATCATACATCTGTTTTGTCCTGTTAAGACTCATCAGTGGTGCTAGAGGACATCATACAGCTGTTTTGTCCTGTTAAGACTCATCAGTGGTGCTAGAGGACATCATACAGCTGTTTTGTCCTGTTAAGACTCTTCAGTGGTGCTAGAGGACATCATACAGCTGTTTTGTCCTGTTCAGACTCATCAGTGGTGCTAGAGGACATCATACAGCTGTTTTGTCCTGTTAAGACTCATCAGTGGTGCTAGAGGACATCATACAGCTGTTTTGTCCTGTTAAGACTCATCAGTGGTGCTAGAGGACATCATACAGCTGTTTTGTCCTGTAAAGACTCATCAGTGGTGCTAGAGGACATCATACAGCTGGTTCCTCCTACTAGAAATCAACAGTAATGCTAAGGATCTAAATTTTGAAACCTTATTCCAATGTTGTTTTATTTCTGAATGTTGACAGAATCTTTGTTCAATATATTTATCAAATAATCATTTACTGGCACTAGCACATTTTTTCCTTGCCTTACTGGCGAGGCCTATATAAGTATATTTGTGTTCAATACAGATACATCATATGTAAAGCTAAAACATGGCTGCAATGAATTTTGATTGTATTTTAGTTCTATTCAAAATCACCGGTTCATTATGAATGTGCAGTTTTGCCACTTCCCTCACACCAGGTATAATATAAATGTAAGCATTTGATGAGAAAAACACAATATCTTCTTTTTCTTTAAATTCTGGAGGAGTATGGTATTAGTTTTTAGTCAGTAGTCTAATTTGTTTTTTTTATTATTTTATCTTGTACCATTTTTTTTTTTTTTTTTTGTAATTTTTTATTTTTCAAAAAAAAATTTATACATATACAAATCAACCACCATACACACATTCACACATGTGGAATCATCATCATCATCATCATCATCATCATCATCATCATCATCATCATCATCATCATCATCATCATCATCCATACATGCACATACATCATCATCATCGTCCATACATGCACATGCACATACATCATCACCATCGTCGTCGTCGTCATCATCCATACATACCCATACATCATTATCATCATCCATACATGACTTCCATCATACATACATGTATCATCATCACCATCATCATCATACATAGATACACATATATGAAGTTCTTCGTTAAACATGTATTACATCATTATACATACATATCATCATACATACATATATGCACATACATCATCATACATTATACATGTATATCATCACCATCATCATTGTATAATGCATCGTTATACATGTATATCATCCTCAAACGCATCATCATCATCATCATCATCATGTTCTCATCATTGCTTCTAGTATACAAAATGTACCTGTATACATTATCATCATACATGCACATACACATAGTATTACTCATACTGTACATATAGAAATATATATCATCATCCACATATATCTACCACACACACTCGCACCAAAGAAAGACAGAAATGAATATGACAGAGAGAGAGAGAGAGAGAGAGAGAGAGAGGGGGGGGGGGGGGGAGAGAGGCACATGGTATTTCAGTTTTGCACAAATGCAAACAGCATTAGGTAGACAGCAAGTGCAGGTAATGTCAAGGTCTTGGCAAAAAGTTATACAAATATAAGCATATACAAATATCAAATCTTATTAATACATCCCAACAGCACAACTATAGTTATATAGTCATAAATAAAAATATGAAGAATTTTTATTAAAATAAACTGATATTAAAATTCTAGAATAGGTTTCCATTTTCTCCAGCCAGTCGCAAACTGTTGTTTAGTGTGTTCATTTTTGTTATTATAAATGCATTTTTGTGTTAGGTGATGATCCTTAATAGTGTTGATTAGCGTATTAAGGCATAGAGAATTGCTAAGACATCGAGTTTTATAGATATAATACTTGATAACGAGCAGTAATTCATTATCAATATGGTTACAATTTTGTGATAATAATCCAAAGAGGAAATATTCTTTGTTATAAGAAAATGGAATATGCAAGACATTTAATAAAGTTTCAAATCTCTGGAGTAGAGTCTGAACCTCTTGACATTCCCATAGACAGTGTACAATAGTCTCATGTTCAAAGTTACATAATGTACAGAATGGACTAACAACTAACTTTATTTTATAGAGAAAAGTGTTTGTTGCCAAAATATGATGTAAAATTCTAGCCTGAAACCATTCCAGTTTAGAATGTTTTGTGACTAAGAAAGGTAGTTCACATATCCTTTTCCATTTTCACTATTAATGTTGAATTCCTGATCCCATTTGCTAATTCCAGTTAGTTGTGGTGCTGTTGGGATGATACAGTTATAGAAGTCTTTTGACCCTTTTTTATTTTTAAAGAAAATTTCCAAGAGGAGTGGAATGGCAGGCAAAGATGGAGTTTCGAAAACAGCATCTTTAGTTCTAAGATATTGTTTAACTGAACGTATCAAACCATGGTATTGAAGAAAATTGGTATTTATTTGAAAGATGCGAGAAAACTCTTGGAGAGAGAGGAAAATCATGTTATCTACATTTTTTAATAAATCATTGACTGTAAGAACACCGGCCTTAAACCAGTTGGAGTAAAAAACATGCTTATTATTAATCTTGATGTCTTTATTATACCATAATGGTGTTTTTAAGACTGATTCTTGTCTATAATATGCTCTTGTACAATTAGAACTGTTAAGTGTGTCCCAAGCTTTGAAGACATCTTGCCAGAAGAAGTTAGGGCAGTTGGATGCACAGAAGAGAATATACTCATTTCCACAGTTGTAAAGTTTTTAAATGTCAATCATTGATTTTAAAATTTGAACCCATTTCCCACGGGAATAAAAAGTTCTCCTTATCCAGCCTAACTTGAGAGAATTGATAAATGCATGCACATCAACCTGTTTGATCCTCACTAATAATATTCCCTAACACTGTTTTAATCCTGCGTGTAATTGCCCCAGAAGCTATTTTATAGGTTACATTTAAGAGTGAAATAGGTCTCCAGTTTTTTTAAAAAATGATGAGGTTTATCTCCCTTTGGTATGCAAGTAATTACAGCATGTCTTTGAGAAACTGAAAACTGACCAATTAAAAAGCTATAATTAATAGAACGTACAACAAAGATCCCTAAATATTTCCAAAAAACTTTAAAGAGTTCTGCAGTAAAACCATCCGACCCTTAAGAGCTCTTCCTGCCTCATTAAAAGTTATGTGACCTTCAAGACTATCAGATTCAGGACTACCTAGACTTGCCATGGAATTCAGCAATTCATCATGATAGGGGTAAATTTATCTTATCTATTGGTCTTCAAGCTCTTTATAGTCTCTGTGACCATTTGAGCTACAAATTGCATGTAGTTCTCAAAACCCTGGCTTTCTTTGTTTTGAAAAAAATAATAATATTCAGTTTTCTTATAT